AATTCTTATTTGGATTATCTTACAGTTTCATTCAGTTACAGTTCATCAATCTAATTTTGGTGGAGAAATCATGTTTTAAACTCTATAAGATTTCCTATTTTCTTTCTAAAGTCTTACTACGTCTCGATCTTTGGTTAAAGCAGAGCATTTTTTTAGACTTTTACTTTCCGCCAGAACCGAACCACAATAAACGAATACGATCTCTTGTCGTATGCCATTCGACCTATACTAACATAACAATTCATTGTCTTAATGGTTAATACTCAATTCAATCCATATAAACGTGAACCGAAGTCTGTAATCAACCATATAAACTCGCTTTGCTGATTATATATAGTCCAGATAGTACTATCGTATTCTCAATATTATTCTATTGTTTACGGTGCAGAGCAGAGAACTATAATTGGTAATTGATATTGTCACAATAAAAGTTATTATCATCTCTTTTTATTATTTTTAGATTTCTTCTTTTTTGGGTCGACAATTTCAGATACTGATATGCATGTAACCCAAATATTAAATATCTTAATGATACAAACTAACTGCGAATTCATATCTTTTAATATTTAGACATTCATAACAAGAATCGTAAATATCGCTTTTAGTTCTTGGTGGAGCACTTGTCCGAGCATGAATCCACACAGTCCGCGACTTTGACTACATCTGTTCATGCCACCAAAAAATCCATAATGTTAGATTCATGCATATTCTAAAAAATAAAATAATAAATACATCAATATGCATATCGATATTTATTCGTATAATAAAGAAAATAAGTGTTTTTGTGTAAAAAAAAAAATCCTCTTTTTGGTTATCGATTAGTACGTAGAAAGATTAAAAAACTTACTCGGATTTTGGAGAGAAGAAAGAGGAGCACAATGACGAGTAGCACAACCGAGTTTGCAGAAATAATCAATTTGATCGATTTTGTTTGCCAAAATCATTTGAGTAGATGGAGGAGAAGGAATTAGTGATGGACGAGGAAGACAAGTCATGATACAAGTGAATGGACAAAGCAAAGCATTTGGAAACTTCTTTTGAATGGCACAAGGCAGAAGACAACCTGAGAAACAACTTCTAAAAGGAGAAGGAGCAGGAGAAGATTGAGCTTCTGTCTGAACCAGAAGGTTTC